GATATAACATCCAAAGATCGCACTCGATTTGAGTGGGCCGATGAAGTGGGCATGGTCACGCAATTCAGTAAGAGACTATTTGTACCCCGTGAGTTTGATATGGTCATATTTTCTGCTTGATTTAAGATTGTTCAGAGCGCGCTTTGAATGAAGAAGGATTAAACTTTGTTTCAATTACCGACCCTTAATGTCAAGGACAAAAGTCATCTAATGTATGGCTGAAATTACTCAGACCTAAGACCGGAGCAGCTAGCTTTCTTTATGGTGCAGATTCTGCAAACATTTAAAGTGCACGTAAAGCAAATTGGGTGTGAGATTCTTTTGAACGCGACTTCAAGTCCAAAGTAACATTGATTTCAAATAATTCTAAGCATGAAGACTACTTTCGGTACAGGCAAAGACTATTTGTGATTCTACAATGGAGCTGAGTGGTGTAGGATTCTCAGATAACATCTCGGAAAGTAAATGGAAAAAGATTAGTGATAAAGTAGGTAAGTAGGTAACATTAAACAGCTGCTTTTGACTGCTCTTACAGAGAGTTTCGGATCACCTTCAGTCTTTCTTTTACAATGAGGCAATTTAAATCAAGATTACTAAAACAATTAGATCTATTATGTCTATCAGGATTTCTGAGGACTACTTGTAAATTGTTAATGAATTATGCCATATGACCCATTAGTGATTGGTCATGGCGTTACATCTAATTTGTTACGACTATAATCCAAGTTTTTATGTTTTTAGTTTTGTTTACACCAAGGCCATGCCATAACACTCTAGTTTTCCTAGTGTGTGGAACCCTTCTTCATTTAGGTGAGCATCTCCTGTGTCTCCAAATCGTAGCTGTACGACAGGAAGGTGGGACTTGTTTGTAAGAAAACCGCTGTCTTCCCGCCACACTCCATCATTCTTATCACAGTTACACTTCAGCCGCCATTTGGAACTGGGACACGATCTAGTTACACCACATGCGCAGCCACCAGTTGCTATGTTTGCTCCCCCCCAGTATGTCATTTTCTCGCCGTCGCGCGAAACCCACCATGAGAATCCAGATCCTACTAATCTGGCTTGGAAACACTCGTATTTGATGAACTGTTGACAGTTATCAGAGGCTTCTGTCAGAACTTTTAATTGGGATATGCTGGCAGAGATGTAATGTACATCAAGGTAATATTCACCAGGCTTGTCAAATCCTTTTACTTGGGTTCTGTTCTCGCTGTCGTGACCTACAACTGTTACTCCAACGCCTTCTTTGTCAGTCATGTTACAGTAAACAGGAAATGGATCCTCGCCAAGAGCACCCTCAGGATCGATGAAATAATCCCCACTGACGTCACTGATGTCTGCCTTCACAGAGGTGCAAGTCTTAGGATAGTCAGTGACGTAAACGACGACACTCGTTTGAATTGAGCTCAATGCATTAGTCGCTTTGCAAGTGTAGACACCACCGTGAGAGAAGCTAGCAGATGAAACTATCAAAGCATTCGAGGAGTCAACAGCCGCCCCTGTCGGTAGGGACAAAGTACCATCATACATCCACAAAATCGTTGGCGTCAGGTCACTTGAAGCAGAGCAAGGCAGAATGAGAGCTTCATAAGCCTTCACTGTCACACTCGACGGGGGTTTGATGACGAATTTGAGAGCTGAATAGATTCGAAGGTGAACTGAAGATGATTTG